TTTTTTTTGGTTGCAGCCATTATTGTTGTTTGGTGCGCCCAGGCTGGATTCGAACCCGCCAACTCAGGTGTATGTGGCTGGTGCCTTAGCTGCTTGAGCCACAGACGCCGAGCTGGTGGTTGTGATTCCTATGGATCTCTCCAGCTCCAGAGCAGGAGTCCCTGAACAGCACTGTTGGGAGACCCAGTTGTTTGTGTTCCTTCCTTTCCTCTTCTCTTCCGAGAACCTTATTCCAGCTCAGACCGAGTACTCAGGCTTATTTTCTCCTCTTTAAAAATGAAAGTGATGCACCATACCCTCTGAATATCACAAGGGTGCTTGGGGGAACAAAGAAGACAGTGTCTATGATAAGATTTGATAACTTTGAAGTGCTCTCCAAGAATTGGTGTGCATCATTGTGCTTCAGGCAGAGGCAGGAAAGAGGAAACAGAGGCATGATGTGGCAAGGTAGCAGTGTCCATTCCCTCTGACCCCTGGTGTGAGAGAAGGACAGAGGTCCTGGAGAAAGTAGGGAACTCTGGTTTGTGCTAAGTGCTTCATCCACATTATTACTCCTAATTCACAAAGAAGCACCTCACTATGGTGAAGAAATGGAGGCTCTAGAAGGTAAGGTTACTCAGTTGTCATGAGTAACAGAGTTGGGATATGAAGCAGGCCTGTCTGCCTTTGGAGCCCTGGCTCATTCCATATGCATCCCAGCCTCTGAATGGGTGGCTTCTGTTTATATCTGGGAGACACTGGGGGAGGAGGGCATTTGAACAGAAAAACTGCTACCTCAAGTAGCTCTGGCAAAAAGGTGGGTATCCCAGCTGGGCATGGTGGCTCTGTAGCTCACACCTGTAATTCTAGCACTCTGGGAGGCCAAGGCAGGTGGATTACCTGAGTTTAGGAGTTCGAGACCAGCCCAAGCCAGAGTGAGACCTTGTCTCTAAAAATCGCTGGACATTGTGGCAGGTGCCTGTAGTCCCAGCTATTCGGGAGGCTGAGGCAAGAGAATCACTTGAGCCTAAGAGTATGAGGTTTCTGTGAGTTGTGATGCCACGGCAGTCTACCGAGGGCAACAAAGTGAGACTGTATCAAAAAAAAAAAAAAAAAAGGTGAATATCTTAGACTCCTGGTCTCCCACTCTCCCCACTACCCAGGCACTCAAATGGATGGCTCCATCCCACACAGAGGTATCCTGCCACCTGACATTCAGCAGCACACGCTACTGCTTCTGTCTTGTTATTCTGTCTGGCAGTGTATCTGCTGAAATGTTCTCCTGGAGAGGTTTTTTTCCCTCCCCAGGGCCTCCCTTTATCCCTCCCATCTTTCTTTCTGTCCAAGTCACTACCACCTGCTCCAGTTGCCCCCTTGGCACAGGGCTTTGTAGTGGGAAGCAAGGGGTGAGGAGGGTGGGGGATGCTCCTGCAACACTAAAACAGGGCATTAGCCAAGGGTTTCTTCCCACAGGGGCCCAGAACCAGAGGGAAGGGAGAGAAGAGGAGTCCCCCAGTTCTTGTTCTTCTCTCTCTCAGGCAGCCTGCTTCACTGCCTTGTGGCAGCTCTGGCCCCCAGAAGGAGAGGCACCCTTTGGTTCCTGGGTTGGCTTTAGCAAAACCCTGGGTACTTAACCCAACATCCTCCAGTCCTGTCATTGTATACTCTATCCTCCTGGCAATAAAGCGGTGTTACACCCTCATAGCTGGTACCTTCCTGCCAGAGAGTGTACTTCTCTGCCCTTTCAGGATGGGGAGTCATTGTGGCTTCTTATTGTCTTGGGGTTTACCAGAGGAAACAAAGGCCCTGAGCCCTCATTTCCCTCTGCTACTGTTATTTTCCTGACTTTGTCTTTCTAGGCAACTTTTCTGGCTGCCCAGGGCTCTGTGTATAGCTGGCTTAAACCAAGTCTACAAATATTTTGTTGTAATAATGTGCCCGACCCGGAGTTAAATGCTTTAAGGAACAGAAAAAAAAAGATAACAGTATAAATCCTGCCCTCAAGGAGCTTAAAGCCTAGCAGGAGAGGCAAGACTTTCCTGTGAAGCACTGGAAGGAAGGAAGAAAGTGAGGCATTAGGCATCAGATTATGTGATTCAAACTAGGTTCTGGATATGCGGAAAAAGAGGGTAGGGGGACCAGAGAGTTGTAGAATATTGTAGACAACATAGGACTGAAGTGAGACCTTAGTGCTCTGAGGGATTTGGATAACTAGGATGTATTAGTTATCTTTGTGGTGTAATAAATTACTCTAAAACGTAACAGCTTTATACAACAATAAACATGTATTGTCTCACAGTTTCTGGGGGTCAAGAGTTCAGGAGCATCTTAGCCGGGCCTGGCTTGGGGTGTCTCATGAGATTGAAATTGAGGTGTCATCCAGGGCGGCATTCATCTGAAGGCTTGACTGGAACTGGAGGATCTGCTTCTAGGGTATATGCTCACATGGCTGGCAAGTTAATGCTGGTTGTTGATAGGAGCCTGCCTTTCCTTGCCATATAGATTTTTCCAAAGGGCTGCTTGAGTGTCCTCAGGACACAGCAACTGGCTTTCCCTACTGTGAGTGATCCAGAAAGAGAGCAAGGCAGAAGCCACAGTGTCTTTTAGGACACCGTCATTTTTACAATCTCCTGTTAGTTGCACAGGTGATCCCTTTGCAACACAGGAGGGGGTACATAAGACGGTGAATGTCAGGGGATGGGGATTGCCAGGGGCCATCTTGGAGGCTTGCTACCCCAGGCTTCCCTCAGCCCCCCAGTGACTCATGTTCTTCTCACACACAAAGTATATCCCCCTTCTGAAAGCTCCCCCAAAGTCTCATCCAATTATGGCATCAGCTCACAGTTGAGAATCTCATCATCTAACTTAGATCTAAGTACACATGAGCCTCCTTTGATTGGGTTCTTGAATATAGCTCCTCAAGCACAGTTCCTCCTGGTCTGAAGACCCCTGAACTAAAGACAAGTTACCTGCCCTCACAGACCCATATACCACAGTAGGACAGGCATAGGAACCCTTTATAGATATTCCAGTTCAAAATGGGGCGGGGAGACACACAGGAATCACTCACATGGGTCTGATTCTCTTCATGTTTTGTGAGCAACTGCCTTATAGTTCATTATCTCAAAGACCCTGCAAATGAGAAATTGAGGCTCCATGAGGTTGGCCTTTGCCCCAGGTCTTGTAGCTAGTGGATGGCAGAGGCCAAATTCAAAGTCCAGCCTGTCTGATTCTCAAGCATGAGCTAATCCCACCACCCCAAGTGGGCCTGAGTATGATCTAGGTCATGGTGTAGTAAAAGATAAAAGCCTGTGAGGGTTGGCTGTGGGGGAAGGAAGGTATTTGCAATAAGAGTGAAGCTAGAAGTTTAGCAGCTATGACTCTTTAGTCAAAGATACCTGTCTGCACTTCTCTTTACTCTTCAGAGTTCACTTCAGCATAATTATTTATACATAGGACTTGTAAACACCTCAATAAATGGAGATTTTGAGGTTGGTAAAGAAGATGTGCAGAGTGCTTGAGAGAAGCTGAGATACCTCCTCAATCTCTGATTCCCAGTCCTTTCATGGTTCCTTGGTCTGTGGACTTGAGGATTTGAGCCTCTTTATGTCTCCCCAGTGAGTAGAAATGCAGGGAAGCCTATGCTGGTCCTAGAAATACTTCATGTGGCTAATTGACTACCCAGCCTCTAGCTTTAAAACCTGATGGTGGTCTGGATCATTTAGGGTGCTGTAAGCAAAACACAGCATGGACACAGATGAAATGAGCTGGCCTTGGCAGCTGAGTGGAATGGCCATGATGGGTGGGATATGTTATTGGATCTAATCTAGGACTGCATCTCTGCTCTCCAGGGCAAAAGTCGTTGGAGCCAGCAGAAGACACGATCTCCCAAATCTCTCACCCCAACAAAAGCTACAGAACCATGTACACCCTCTAAGTCCCGAAGTGCTGGCCCAGAGGAGGCCTCAGAATCACCTACAGCTAGGCAGATTCCCCCGGAGGCACGTCGGCTCATAGTAAACAAAAATGCTGGTGAGACCCTCTTGCAGAGGGCCGCACGTCTTGGATATAAGGTAAGGGAGCTCCCAGGGTGCAGGGTGCCATTGGACTGAGCATCTGTGGGGAAGTTTCTCCGCATGGGACCTTCTGGGGCTTGAGTCCAGGCTGGCCTTCTACTGCCAAGATTACCCCTGGGGCTCCTTGACCCTCACCCTTCTGATCTCAGTGTGTGGGAAGGCAAGCTCACTTTGGGATGAACACAATTGAAATGGAAACACAGTATTGTGTAGTACATTCATGGACCAGGAGTGGGATTTTTGAATGTTTATATTGTCTTGAATTTCCCTAAGTGGTAGGTTTCCTCCTCTGGCTTCCTCTCATGTCAGCTTCCGGGAGAGAGGTCAGGAGTATGTTTAAGGCTGAGCTAACCCTACCTTATACTACCGTGTTTCCCCGAAAATAAGACATTGTCTTATATTTATTTTTTCTCAAGAAGACACGCTAGGGTTTATTTTCAGGGGATGTCTTATTTTTATTAAGTATAATACAACAATCTACATTTATTCAAATACAGTTAAGTCATCTTATTCTGGAACCTGACAGGGGAGCCGACCTTGCTGGTGGGGCTAGCACTAGTGATGCATGAACTCCTTTCCCCTAGCCGTTCGCATGTGCGCAATAGGACACCTGCAACCACGGTTACCACACGCCCACCTGCGCAAGTGCCAACGGCTCAGAGAAAGGATCTGTGGCAGATAAAAGGTATTCCAGTCTTCCTTACCGCCCTGAAATGCATGGTGCAGATCAGCATAGCCACGCCCATCACTAGGTCTTATTATCGGGTAGGGCTTATATTTAACAAATGCATAGAAATCCTGCTAGGGCTTATTTTTTGGGTAGGCCTTATTTTCGGAGAAACACGGTACTTCCCTATAGATTGGAAAGAAGGCAGGAAAGGAAGCTGGCCTCTTGAGCAGCTCTTCTGTTGTATTAAGAGCTCTGATTACTTAATATATTTAATCTTCATAATAAGCCTGTAGATGTATGATTTGTTATCCCCATTTTATGGATGAGAAAATAGAGGCTTAGCAGTGTTAAATGGTATGTCCAAGATCACTCAACTCCTACATAAAACATGAGTCTGATTTCAAACTAAGGATTTTGATTCCCAAGTGCGACAGTAGGGGTGGAAGACCGAGTCATTTATATTAAGTTATGTTGTTGCACATTTTAGTCATTCTTCATTTTTTGTTGAATATGTGTCTTTGCCCTTAACACTGATTATTTCCATGGGGTTTGGTCCCACCAGTGGAGTTGCTGGTTAGTTATAGAGTGTGCTTTTTGTTTTAAGGCTTTCTATCTCTATACCCAACTCATTTCAAGCCAGTCGTGCTCCCAGCCAGCCTGGTCAGCCCAGGAGAGCAGATGTTACAGTGTCTCACTGTCAAGCCACCCATCTTTTCTGAGCACCCAGTGTGGGTGCCTGGGTAGCTGCCAAGGGAGACCTGAAGCAGAAATGAAGACCAATCCTTGCCATCAAGGTTAATTGTCGGCTCGGCGCCTATAGCTCAACCGGCTAAGGCGCCAGCCACGTACACCTAAGGTGGCGGGTTCGAATCCCCAGCCTGGACCCGCCAAACAGCAATGACGGCTGCAACCAAAAAATAGCCGGGCGCTGTGGCGGGCGCCTGTGGTCCCAGCTACTTGGGAGGCGGAGGCAGGAGACTCACTTGAGCCCAGGAGTTGGAGGTTGCTGTGAGCTGTAATGCCACGGCACTCTACCCAGGGGGACAGCTTGAGGCTCTGTCTCAAAAAAAAAAAAAAAAAAAAAGGTTAATTGTCTTATACCCTGGGCAACACCAGCAAACAGGAAACCATCGGAGAAGCAAAGAGGACAGGGCTCGAGTGCAGGGCAGCCTGTCAGGAGGGCAGGAGAAGCCCTTTGAGGCTTTGTGGAAGAGATGAACATCTGCACTGGTGTGGAAGGCAGGAAGCCTCACACTTTCTCTCAGGTAAAGGCAGCCTGATAGTTTCTGTATACAGGTGGCAGAACCCCCACCACAGGCACTCTCAAGACCAGCCAGCCTGTGAGCTCTCAGGCAGAACAGCGTGGAACAGCCTATCTCTTGAGTGTCCTGGAGAGAGGGCTGGTGATAGTGCCTTGGTGGGGTCTGGTTCAGAAAGCCAAGCAGCCAGTGACGCTGCCAGCCTCTCCCTCCCCCCTCAGCTTTTCCACCAGCTTCATCTCATTCTAGCTAAGGTTCTTCAGGACCCTGGAGTTCCACCCTCTGGTCCTGTCATCTCAGCCCAAGTAAGTCAGTCTCTAAAGTGTGCATGAATGGCAACTGGATTATACTCAGATGATCCTTATTTGAGGGGAGGGCTGGAACTGATGACCCTGATATGAACATTGGTCCTACTGAGACCAAAATGCAGGGAGTCCTTAAGACAGCGCTTTCTTCCTTGTTCATGCTTGTTTCCCCAATCTGAGGCTGGCTTGCCAAGCTCAGGGAGTCACGGTCTGAGCACTAGAGCTCTAGTGGGCGAGTAGGCCTCCCTGAGGACCTCACCCCAACAGCCACCATCCACACAAGTGTTCTTGGCCATAAGAAGTGTTTCCCTACTGCCAAAGAAACAGCCCAGAGCCAGGGCCCTGGTGATAGCAGCTAAGGACTAACTTTATTAAGGAAAGATCTTGAGACTTGTTACCCATATAAAGGACAGACTCTTTGAGAATTCTTAGACAATACCTGGGGTCTTCAAGTTTCTCGGGGATGAGTTCAGGAATTAGTTCTCTCTTTGCTCATGGAGCTGTCCCTGTCCCCACAGGATGTTGTTCTCTACTGCCTCCAGAAAGACAGTGAAGATGTGAATCACCGGGACAATGCTGGCTACACAGCACTGCATGAGGCCTGCTCCCGGGGTTGGACTGACATCCTGAACATCCTGCTGGAGCATGGGGCCAATGTGAACTGCAGTGCACAGGATGGCACAAGGCAAGAAGGCTGCTCCTTTCCCAGGCCAGGCTGCGAGTTGCAGAGAGGACTCTTAGGCATTTTAGAAAGACCTCTATAGACTGAACAGGGAACCAGTTTAGGGCAGGGGCCAATGAGCTCCTGGATGGCCAGTCCTCATTGGTTATTAAGAGGAGGAAGGCTGTATGATCATCCTACACATGCAGTTGTCACTGGGAAGACCACTCAGCTTGGTGGGGCACTTGTCTCAGGCAGAATCTAAGGCTTTAGGAACTAGGAGACTGACCTGAGGGTAACATTCCAAGTTTGATTTTTAAAATTTGATCTCGGGCGGCACCTGTGGCTCAAGGAGTAGGGTGCTGGCCCCCATATGCCAGAGGTGGCGGGTTCAAACCCAGCCCCGGTCAAAAAACTGCATAAAAAAAATAAAATTTGATCTGTAGACACTTTTTTAAAGATATACCTGTTGTGTCTTAAAGAAATTGTACCCATTCTCTTCTGCTGTACCACGGGGCCTACTTCCTGGGCAAAGTAGAGATAGGAGCTGCAGACCAAATAGGAGGCACTATACTCTGCTCATCCTCCTCTTGGGTAGTCACTTGGGTCCCTTACTTCTTACCCCCAGCTGTTTTAACTTTGTCCTATGTCAGTGACCCATTATTTGCCCAATTCCAGAACCACCAGTAGAGTAACACTATGTCCTGGAGAATGTTCCAAGACAAGGGGAGAACACAGGAGTGAGAGTAATGGGAGGGAGGAGATGGGGAGATGATAGTGGGGACTACAGGCCAGAAGTGGCACTCCTGCCATAGCCTTAACCCCTATTGCACTGGAGTTATTCTGGAGTCATCTTAGTTCTTTCCCTTGATGTAGCAGCCTAAAGCCTAGACGCCCCTGTTCCCACTTGGGTCCTGTTGTCCTCAACTTTGTCTTTCCTCCACAGACCAGTTCATGATGCAGTGGTGAATGACAACTTGGAGACCATTTGGCTTCTGCTGTCCTATGGGGCTGACCCCACACTGGCTACCTACTCAGGCCAGACGGCGATGAAGTTGGCCAGCAGTGACACCATGAAGCGCTTTCTCAGTGGTAAGCACAGCTCAGACTTGACACTATCATCCTTAGGGCTGGCCTCTGATTCCTGAACTCATGAGGATGTCCTCCTCATTTCCCTCCATCTCAAACAGCTCCCACGAGGGGCATCTGCCTTCTTCACAGGCTCTCCTTCCAATGTCTCAGAAATCTCTTTCCACTTCAAAAGCCCACAGGGCTACTTCCTCTCATCCCCTACCCGTGAGTGCCTTCATCCTTTTTAAGGTCTGGGGGCCCACAGGGACCCACTTCACAGCTAGGTATCTCGAGTAGGCCTCTTTGTGGAACAGCAGCCCCACTAGTAGACCTAGTTGGGGGCAATATTTGTTGACCAGTGAGCTTTGAATGGAATGTCAGTTGCAAAGCAGTGACACTTAGAATTTTGCTTTTGTTTTTTCAATTTCTCTTTGTTGGTGATCAAAGTAGAATCCCTGGGACCCTTCCTAAAGCTTTATCCCTCACAATTTTTGCCTGTGGAAACTATAGTGTTCCCTCTGCATCCCAGCATCTCCCTTCTTTCCATGTCTTTCTTTTCTTCCTTCACCTGCCCCTTCTGAAAAGTGTATAATGTTGAAGCCTATGGCAAGGGCCAGAAGCCAACTCTCATTTATTTTCTCATTAGTGGACAGCAGCTGTTTGACTGCAGTCAGACAACTCTATGGAGTTGGGCAAAGGAGGAGGTGAGTCCAGTTTGGGTATGCTTAGTAGTAATCTCCTCAGCCTTGACCTCTGAATAAAGGAACCCTGCCTCTTATAACATTACGGCTTGACCCTTGCTCTAGCAGTTACTTCTTCAGACTGCCTGAACAACTGGGCAGCTGGGACTTATATCTCTGCACCTCTTCAGAGGCATCGGTGTTTGTGGTAGAACCCCTCTTAGACCAGGAGCAAACAGGACCAAGGATTTGCCTATGAGTACATCTTCCTTTCACCTGGGTTTTGGCCCTAGTTAGTCCTAAACTCTTACCTCTCTGGAGGTACACTTTTGGGCTACCAACTAGGAGCTCATTTGTTTACTGAACAAAGGTCAACTGAACTGATGATGGAAGAAGAAACAAAAGGACTTGAACTAAAGGTCCTCATGGAAGGAAGACTAGGGAGGGACTCAGAGAGGGTGACAGGAGGCTGCCAAGGGAGATCTGGACTCCTGCTCAGCCAGCCTCCACTCAGGTCTCAGTCTAGCTGACTAAACCCTGGAGTATAAGCCTCAATCCCACACTGCCTTGACCCAGCCTCTCCCTGGTAGGAGCAAGGAGAGTTGCCTTTTCTGTCTTCCCTCCTTACAATTCTGGGTGCCCAACCCCCTGTCTTTGAGGGGCAGAGTAGCTTTGGGATGTTCATTCAGTTTTTCGTCCTGTACCAGTGATGACTGCTTCCCTTTAGCTGAGCCATCACTGGGGTACAGGGCTTGGAGCAAGCCACCCTTTGTGTGTCATCCTCTATCTGTGAGTGTCTGCATCTTCTTCAAGGTCTGGGAGCCCACAGGGACCCATTTCACAGCTAGGTATGAAGTAGGTCCTATATACTGTGCACACATACAATGTCTTTCTAGACACATATGCATGTTGTTCAGACTTCACTGGGTGCCCAGGAAGGTCTGGCATAAACATCCAGAGCATTTCCATATGATAAAGGCACCACATGAAGCTCTGCCTTTAATAAGCTTGCTTACACCAGAGGCCTCTTTAGGCTAGAACCTGCCTTCTGAGGGTCTTGGAGGCTCTCTCTGACCACCTTAAACTTGTTTCTCCAACCCCTTCTCTAAAACCCCAGAGGAGTCTGAATGTTGAAACCATTTTAAGTCATTAAAAATGAGAAATAAACATGTTTTTCTCTCATCTTCTTTTAGTCAATTTATCCTAGCTACTAGTTAGCCTTTTGACACCTCCTTAAACTAACTTGAATGCCATTCTATGTTGTAGAATCCAGAGAAGGCTTTTCTTAGCTCACAGCATTTTCTGGCTTGTCTAGGCTGAGAATTCTCATTCAGATCTTGACACCGTTGCTTAATTTTTGGACATGGAGCTGGCTTAATAATGGGGTTTGGGAGCCAATGGAGTGTTACAAACTGGGCCACCTCTTTTCCATGCAAAGGCAGGGCTCTGTATGGCTGTTAGGGAAAGTTCTAGGAGCTTGGCCTGACACCCCAGAGAGGTAGGAACTGATAGGATTCAGTAGGTGCCTCCAAAGGGGGAACTTGGGCCCAAAGGCTGCTGGGTTGGGAGTGAGAGGACGGTACTTAGAAGTTATTTTATTTTATTTTATTTTTAATTGAAGTGAAATTTACCTAACATAACTGTTCTAAAGCGAACAATTCAGTGGCATTTAGTATACTCATAATGTGCTGTCATGGTCGGGGCTGTTTTGATGCCTTGAACTGAATCCTTGTCTCTTTTCTCCTACCTGTGCACCACCACCCATCCCCCAAACCTCTGAGTACAGTTGAATAGTGGCCGAAGGGTGCAATGGAGGTTGGAAGTCAGAGTTTAGGGAAGTTTTGCCCTTCCCCATTCCGCATCTCAAGCCCTGGGCCTGGATACATTTACGTGGAATTCTGGAGGTTTTTTTGACTTGCTTGTCCGGTTGAGGTATTTAAAAAGCTTTTTGCTTTTCATCCCCAAACATTTGCCAGACCAGACTCTCTGTAGATTAATTGTCTTCATCCACCCCTAGTGGAGGTCCCACTGGGCAGAAAATGAAGGTGAATCCCTGTAGGGTACAGGGGACTCTATTTTCTATAAGAGGAAAAGGTGAGCAAGAGCATCAGGGTTGTGCCTCGTGTAGAAGCTCCTAGGCTTTGTACAGGGTTCCTGTTCTGTAAGAGTTGTTGGGAAATCAAATCATTTTCTAAGTACACAAGGACATGTATCTATTTATGGGTATCCTATAGTGAATCCTATTGTAAAGTAGAAGATGCTAATAATTCATCTGGGCTGCAAACGTAAATTTTCTTATGTTGGGTTGGCTAAAGGCCCATTTCTGCTGAGATTGTGAAGGAGGGAGTGGGACTCCTTCATTCATTTATTTGCTCATCTATTTATTGAACACCTATTAGATTTTGGGTGCTGTGCTGTGTGTAGAAGCTCTCTGGCTGTGTGCCAGAGAGTAAATCCTTTCTACCTCATGCTCAGCCTTAGCTCCCCAAGCTGTCCAAATGCTAGAAAGCCCTCTAAAGAGCCACCCCCTTGGGCAAGATTGTAGGCAGGCATATGACTCATTTACCTTTGACCCTTTGAAGAAAAGAGCAATAACCAAGCTAGCTGAAGGAAAACAGACTCGTTTTTCCTCTCAGAAAGAATGTAGGGGTAGGGGAAGTTGGTGCAGTTTGGTTGGGGGTATCAGAGGAAGTATCAGGACTGCTCTGCCTTCCACTGATGAAAGGGTTAGCCATTTACCACTTGAGGTCACTGAATCACAGGTTTTTGTTTTTCCTGCCCGAGACCCCTGCCATGTGACCCCTTTTTTAAGGCCACTTTTTTTTCTCTCCTTTCATGTCCCTCAGCTGTTTGACTTAGTTGGAGGCCATGGGGTGGGATGTGATGGGACCCTGGAAAAGAGAGAAATTGATTCCGTTGGGGTGGCCACTCACATTGAGTTGAGAGGCTCTATTCTTACAATGAATCCCTGAGGGCACTTTTTAAAAAGTTCTTGAGAGGGCGGTGCCTCTGGCTCAAGGAGTCCGGCACTGGCCCCATATACAGGGTGTACCAGGTGTGGCGGGTTCAAGCCCAGCCCCAGCCAAAAAAAAAAATTCTAGAGACAAAATTAATGCAATCTAAAATTAAGCATTTAAAAGTGAACAATTCAGTGGCATTTAGTATATTCACTACCTTGTGCAAGCACGACCTCTCTTTAGTTCCAAAACATTTTCATCAGACTAAAATGAAGCTCCATACCCATTAAACAGTTACTTCCTATTCCCCCTTCCTTCCTACCCCAGCAAACACTAATTACTCTGTCTTTATGGATTTATCTCTTCTAGACATTTCATATAAATGGAATCATATGCTAGGGGGCCTTTTGTGTCTGGCTTTTTTCATGTAGTCCACATCAATGTGTTAGCATATTTCAGTATTTCAGTCCTTTTTATTGCTGAATAATATTCTATAATATGCATATATATATCATTTTGTTAACCCATTCATCCATTGATGGACATTTGAGCTGTGTTCACCTACTTGACTATTATCAATAGAGCTGCATGTACATGTACTTGTTTGAGTATCCATTTTTACTTCTTTGGTGTATATGTTTATACCTAGGAGTAAATTGCTGGGCCCAGGGTACTTTTTCAAGGAAAGGATGAGAGTAAAGGACTGAAAGTTGTGGCTGAAGGTAGGGAAGAGGGAGGATCAATGAAAAGGAAGGTCACTCTTCACCCTGATTGTATGTGAACATTTATGAGGAAATGTGAATCAAAGCTGCCACCATCAAGCAAATCTTGGAGCTCCTCTTATGTGCCACTCATGTGCCTGTTCCAACTTTAGCTTCTTTGTTCATGCCAGTTAACTTTTGGCTATCTCAAAAAGGCAAATTCACCTGCAAATGGAAAAAATTTGCAGTTAGCAAAGAGAATTAGAGGAATGTGTTAGAGGCTCTGAAGGCAGTTCCTAGAGAGGAGCCCCGGGCATGTGGTGATCCAGGGCTGCTCTGTTGGAATCCTCTTATTGGGGAGAGGAGGGCAGTAGTCATTTGAAAGCATATGTTTCAGTGTGCTGGTAAAACAAGCATTTTATAGTCTCACTTTGTGGTAATTTATTCCTGCCTCCACCCCTCTCCATATATTTATTAAGCTCCTACTATGTGCCAGGCACTGGACTTTAGGAACATGGGAGATGATGGTGAAGAAGACAGCCAATTATCTCCCATGACACCTAGCACAGGGTTAAGCACAATAGACACCTACCTAACAAATGCTTCTGGAAGAAACTATTTCCATCTCTCAAGTGACACAGGGTACAGAATAACACATGAGCCAGCCACAGAACCTCAGTCTTTTCACAGAACGCACAGAAGACCTAATGTGTATGACGAAAGGTTTCCCACTCCGCTCGGTCATTACTTGGAAAGCTTCTTACTGATTGCTTTATGCTACTGGGAACTCTTCATTTCCTGGAAGGTTGCTAAAAAATGAGGATTTATAATAGCTCAAAACAGCTAATAGGCATTCTTACTGACAGGATGATCCCAGAGGGATTTGGGTCACGGGGGTGCTTTACGTTGGGGAAAACTAGCTCTGTTCCTTTAAGAGTGGCCACCCACTTCCTCCTGGGATTTGCTTTTCAGAGGGTATCCTCACCCCACCTGTGCCCTTTGGACTCTTCTTCTGGTTACCCAGGTGTCAATTGAGGGCTGGTGGCATATACAACTAAGTTTGCCAGTTATACTAGGTGGCATATTGGCAACCACTGGCCATGTGCCCACAGATGACACAATTAAATTTTTCATGAAAGCCAGTGGACCTGTTTTTGGTCCAGGTGAGACTGAGAAGTGAAACAGTTGCACTAGATAATGCCTAGTTAGGAAACAAGGAGGGTAAGTGGGGGGGGGGGCTGACATCTGTCTTTAGGGTTTAAACCATTGTATTGTAGTCAAGTATACATAACACAAAATTTACTACATTTACCATTTTAAAGTGCACAATTGAGTGAGAATAAGTGCATTCACAATGTTGTACAGCCATCACCACTATCTAGTTTCAGATTATTTTTGGTCATTTTGGAAGGAAACCATGTCTCTCTTACCAGTTATTCTCCATCCCTCTCTCTCCATCACTACTGTCAGAATTTTCTTTCCTTTATAAGGCTGAATAATATTTCACTGGGTGGATATACCCAATTTGTTCATCCACTTATCCATTGATGAACACCTGGGCTTGTTTAGCTTTTGGCTATCATAAATAGAGAATCTGTGAACATGCATGCACATGTACTTGTCTGAGTATCTATTTTCAGTTCTTTTGTGTATGTACTTAGGAGTGGAAGTGCTGGGTCATATGGTAATTCTGTGTTTACCTCTTTTTTTTTTTGAGACAGAGTCTCACTGTGTCACCCTCAGTAGAGTGCCATGGCATCACAGCTCACAACAACCTCAAACTCTTGGGCTTAAGAGATTCTCTTGCCTCAGCTTCCCAAGTATCTGGGACTATAGGCATCTGCCACAAAGCCCTGCCATTTTTTTATTGTAGTTATCATTGTTATTTGGCAGGCCCCAGGGCCACGTTTGAACCCACCAGATTTGGTGTATGTGGCTGGTGCCCTAGCTGTTGAGCTACAAGCGCCGAGCCTATGTTTACACTTTTGAGGAATCACTAAATTCTTTTGCCAGCAGTGGAACTATTTAATATTTCCACCAGAAATTTCATCAGTTGATGGGCATTTGGATGGTTTCCACCTTTGGGCTATTGTGAATAGACTCTGTAGTGAACATTTGTGTATAAGTTTTTGTTTGAACACCTGTTTTCCGTTCTTTTGAGTCTGTACCTAGGAATGGAAGCAAGAGGTTTTATGGGGATAAACCTGGCCATTTCCCCCATGGTTTTTAAAGGTGAAACAGAAAGAATTATGTTTATTAATCTAACTATAAATTGGAGAAATTGTGATTAGATATATGAACATTGTGACTAGCAGAGAACTAATATGGATAGGTTTAGGTTTTACTTGTACAGAGCCCTACACCCTTTAAAGCAGGGGTCTCAAACCTAAATGCCCTTAGGTTGATCATGTAAAAGAGGGAGGCAGGCTGGGTGGGGAATAGTGAACTAAAGCCCACATATGTCTCCACTCTCTCCAGCTAACTATTGAATTTGGACACAGTGTGCCAGATATTCTGGGGTTTTTTTCCCATAAAAAATTGGAAATCTGGGGCTGCGCCTATGGCTCAGTGAGTAGTGCACCGGCCCCATATACCAAGGGTGGCCAGTTCGAACCCGGCCCCGGCCAAACTGTAACAACAATAAAAAAAATAGCCGGGCATTGTGGCAGGAACCTGTAGTCCTAGCTGTAGGAAGCTGAGGCAAGAGAATCACCTAAGCCCAAGAACTGGAGGTTGCTGTAAGCTGTGACACCACGGCACTCTACTGAGGGTGACAGAGTGAGACTCTGTCTCTAAAAAAAAAAAAAAAAAAAAATTGGAAATCTGGACTATTAAGTTAAAATTGCCCAATCTCAAAATGTTGGACATGAATTAAATTTTTTTAAAACACTGGGCCAAACTTCAGGCAATTAGTGAGCTAGATTAGGCTCCTGGCTACTGGTTTGCAGTCTCTGACCAAGAGCAGGAAATGTCCCTTTCTCTGGTCATGTCTGGCCACTCTTGTGGTTCTTCCTACCTACCCATTCTCCTAGCCTCATATGTGTGGACTTTGCTCCAAGACTCCTTCTGCCTGCCCTCCTTGTCTCACTGCTTTCTCTTTTTTCATTAGATCACCTCTCAGATCTTCAGGGCCGGGCAGAAGGTGATCCTGGTGTATCCTGGGATTTTTATAGCAGTTCTGTATTAGGTAAGTTTTAAGTGGGATTCTTTCCACCCTTATCTGTGGCACAGAGATGTGGAGTTTGGCTTTGCTTTCACTGATTGTTCTCAATGATAGGAGTAACCCTGTGGGGATATCCCTTCTTTACCTGTTAGTAGCTTATAGACCCTTTCAGCCCAAACCCTAATACATCCTCCCCCCAGACTTAGAAGTCATTTACCTAAACCAGGAGATGCAACACTATTTGGACTAAGCCCTCTCTTGTTGGCTTCTACCGCTCCTCACCCTGGCCACCATATTTTTTTTGAGACAGAGTCTCACTCTGTTGCCCAGGCTAGAGTGCTGTGACTTCAGTCTCGTTCAAAGCAACCTCAAACTCCTGGGTTCAAGTGATCGTCCTACTTCAGCCTCCCTAATAGCTGGGACTATAGGCACCCACCACCACACCCAACTAATTTTTCTATTTTTTATTAAAGACAATATCTTGATCTTACTCAGGCTGGTCTCAAACTCCTGAGCTTGAGAAATCTTCCTTCCTTGGCCTCTCAGAGTGGTAGGATAATAGACATGAGCCACTGGGCCACTGGGTACTTTTTATTTTTACTATATATATATATATAGAGAGAGAGAGAGAGAGAGAGAGACTCACTTTATTGCCTTTGGTAGAGTGCCATGGCATCACACAGCTCACAGCAAACTCCAACTCCTGGGCTTAGGCGATTCTCTTGCTTCAGCCTCCCAAGTAGCTGGGACTACAGGCACCTGCCACAATGCCCAGCTTTTTTTTTGCAGTTTGGCCAAGGCTGAGTTCAAACCTGCCACCCTTGGTATATTAGGCTGGAGCCCCACTGACTGAGCCACAGGCACTGCCCTATTTTTACTTATTTTTATTCATTCATTCATTCATTTATTATTTTTTTTTTTTAGGGACAGAGTCTTACTTTGTCACCTTCAGTAGAGTGTTGTGAAGTCACAGGTCACAGCAACCTCCAGCTCTTGGGCTTAGGCGACTCTCTTGCCTCAGCTTCCCGAGTAGCTGGGACTACAGGCTCCTGCCACAACGCCCAGCTATTTTTTTGTTGCACTTTGGCCAAGGCTGGGTTCAAACCAACCACCCTTGGTATATAGGGCTGGCGCCCTACTCACTGAGCCACAGGCGCCACCCTATTTATTCATTTATTTTTTTGAGATAGAGTCTCACTATGTCACCCTCAGCATGCCATGGCGTCACGGCTCACAGCAACCTCAAACTCTGGGGCCCAAGTGGTCCTCTTACCTCAGCCTCCCAAGTAACTGGTTCTATAGGCACCCACCACAATGCCCAGCTATTTTTTTTTTTAATTGTTGACATTGTTGAGTTGGCCCAGACCAGGTTTGAACCCACCAGCCCTGGTGCGTGTGGCTGGTGCCCTAACCACTGAGTATGGGCACCAGGCCTGTGTGTACTTTTTAAATTCTCTTCCCTAAATGGCTAGTGCTTATAGTTCCAGCTACTCAGGAGGCTAAGAAAGGAAGATCCCTTGAACTCAAGAGTTTGAGGTTGCTGTGAGCTACAATAACACCACAGCACTCTACCCAGGGTAACAGGGTAAGACTGTCTCAAAGAAAAATTTTTCTTCCCTGGTTCCTTTCTCCTCTCTTGCTTTGTCTTAACCCTGCCAGAAGCCACTATGAGCATTGTCATCTCTTCTCATATTATTCATTCTCAAGCAGAGCCAAGCCCCTCATGTGGCAGCTATCATTTACCCCCTATCCTGCTCCTACAAGGCACACATAGTTTTGAGATAGCTGCTGTCTCCTGAGACTTTAGTATTCCAACCTCAACTTTCTTCTCCTGAAAAATAGCACATCTTTATCCATGGTGGTTTTCTAGCATTCACCTATTGTACTAGGGGCTGAGGAGAAAGGGAAGAACCTATCCCTAAGCTTGGGGGAAGTTGTAACAGGGGAAGGTTGGGATGGAATGCAGAAGGCCACACCCGGACATGTGGCTGGGGAAGGGAACAGCCTGAGCCCTCAGTGGACTTCAGGGATCCCTGCAGGCAATGAGGCAGCTTGGAAAAGCTGCAGCCAGAGAAGGGGAGGTGTTTTTACCTTGCTCTTGGCTGCTGATAGTATCTTCAGGCTTCCATCTCCAACAGCTGAGCAGCTCATCCTTCACATCACCTTCCAAGCAGAGGGTGGAGGAATGTAATAATCTCTGGCCACAAAATGCATTCTTCCAGGACTAGAACTTTCACGTGGCCACCCAAGGATGAGAGCCATGGGATTAGCAAACCTTCACCCCAACCAGGGGCCTATGGCCTTCTTGTTTATCTCCCCAGCACCACCTTTCACACCCCTGATTTAGCATTTATTTTCTTCATGTTTTGTGCATGTAGCCAAGTCCTAATTTCCTACGTGCTCTTCTTACAGAGGAAAAAGACGGGTTTGCCTGTGACCTCCTACATAATCCTCCTGGGAACTCCGATCAAGAAGGAGATGATGCGGAAGAGGATGATTTCATGTTCGAACTCTCAGACAAGCCTCTTCTCCCTTGCTACAACCTCCAAGTGTCAGTGTCCTGCGGGTAAGTGTCTGAGAGATCCATAGGGACCATCCTGGCAGCCCCTGGATGATCTCCCCAGGAAGGTAGAGTTCTCTAGGAGGAAGTGAGGACCTGGCAAATGAGTGCTAGAGGATAGGAAAGATAGATAATAATACAGGACACAAAGGCCAGCCTGCCTTTCTAGCCCAGATCAGTTATGTTCAAACTAGAGGCTCTAGATCAGTGGTTCTCAACCTTCCTAATACCGTGGCCCTTTATAACAGTTCCTGTGGATCATGACACACAGGTTGAGAACTGCTGTTCTAGATACTTTGACTGTATGCAGTTCTTGAACTCAAAGTCTAATTTTACTTTTGAGAGGTTTTTTGCCCTGTTCCTGGGAGTGAGAGATGATCTGGGGAGATATTTGGGCTGATAACAGTATTAGAATCTCTAAAATATTTTTTTGTAGTTTCTAGGAACAACCAGACAGAATATTTGAAATTGAGATTGTTGGAAAAGCCAGGGCATGGGGTTGCCATAGCTTTGGGGCTGGTAGGGTCCTTAAGGAATCCACGGACTTGCTTCTCACAGCCATAGTATTGCTGAGTTGGTGGCACCAATGCTGTCCTCAGCTCAGATTACTGCATATATTATAACAGGAATCATCAGTTTTCAGAGACTAGAATATACCTGAGATTTAACATTAGAAGGAACCAAATTTAATCCTTATTTGATGACGCAGAAGGAAGTTGGACAGTCAGCAGGGCCCTGGTTGATGCTGGTCTTCCATAGGTCGGCTTGTGAAAGTACGGGTTTGTAGGATGAATTGCTCTTGTATTCTTAGCCTCTGTTAATTGTTTTTTCTTACTGGTGTCGTCATGTATTTCAAATAACTTTTGAAAACAATTTTAAGGGTAATTTTTTTGATAACTCTTCTTAAAATATCAGACTCTATTTGAAAAACAAGTGAACTAGCATAAGTTGCACAGCATAGGGAGCTGGGCAGATAGTGGATTAGGAGCCCTTCAAGTGACACCCTCTGTTTATGACCTTAACCATTAGACCACAATTTTTTGCATCCCTTCCCCCATGGCCTAATAAGAATAAAAATAGCCTATATGATCACACTAGTAGGGGGTCAAGTTTCAGGGCTTTTGGTCCTTATTCTTCTGGGCATAAGCTGATCACTGAGGGCAGGGCGGGGCCTCTGGGATATAGTATTGCACAGTTAATTAATTCCTCCGAAGTATTCAGCACCTCCTTCTCTGAAACAGGATCTTGGGCCCCAGGCAGTAAAAGGACCAGGGTAGTTTTAGGTGTGACAGAACATGGGCCACCAAGGGCTCCATGTTCCGCAGCAAGCTAGGGAACAGGCACGTTGTCCAGCCAGAGCTCCTTACTGGCAAACTTAGTTTTCCTGATGTCATATTCTCCAGTACTTGTTCTAAAGCTGTTCTTCCCCAGGGCTACGGCACAATGTGAAATGATCTGTTCTTTAAGAAGTATATTTGGGGGTGTAGAATGATGACTCTGAGGCCCTGTGGGGTTCAGAGGAGCCTTCTGAATTATCAAAGCAAGACTGAATTCTGATCATGGGGGTAAATGTTCTGAGGTTCCCCCCTCCATTCTTCAGGAGTAATGATCCTAGTGTATGGTGTCTCTAGTCCCTTTCTCTTAACCTGGAATACTCCTTTCCCTAAATGTATGAAGTGACAGAGTTCATCATCATTTGGAAGAAATGTTGCACTTTTAGGGGTAAGGATTATAGGTCTAGGCAGATGTTTTAGGTGCTATGTAGAACATTTGATTCCATAAACATGCCTTAAGCAGCTGTACCAGGTCAAACTCGATAAGAACCAGATCATAGCTCTGGCCTTCAAAGAATCCATGGGCTAGCGGAGTAGAAAGATAGCATATAATTAACTCTAATAGAAGAAAAAATGGGTCAGGCACAGTGGCTCATGCCTGTGTTCCCAGCACTTTAGGAGGCTAAATCAGGAGTATTACTTGAGGCCAGGAGTTGGATACCAGCCTGGGGCAACATAGTAAGACCCTGTTTCTACAAAACTTAAAATAATCAGTCTGGCATTGTTGCACATGCATGTAGTCCCAGCTGCTTGAGAGACTGGGGTGGGATGTTGGCTTAAGTTTCAGGCTGGAGTGAGCTATATTCATGCCTCTGTACTCCAGCCTAGGCAACAGAGCAAGAGCTCATCTGTAAAAAACAAGACAGATGTTCTAAGCAGATTTATTATTGTACAAAACTCAATGAGTCAAGTAAAAAAAGTTCCAGTTGAACCACAGTTTTAAGTTTCTTTTGCATCCTTTCTGAAATGGGCTGTGTTAGAAGTATTGTAATAAGCATGTGAACCAAGTGCCATGCAACCATGGGGAAGGTTTCATGGGCATCTAAGGTAGACCCGAATGGAGGGTAGGATGGAGGATGTAATAGTGGGACATACAAGTTCAGAAAATTGAGAAAGCAGGGGTAGTCTCTTATGACTGGCACTTGGTAGGGTGGGAGATACTGTGTTGTGTGTTTTACTGATTGAAGATTGGCCTCAAGAGGTTGAAGGGGGTCATGTTTGGAAGGTCTTGTATAATATCATGCTAAAGATTTTGGAGTTTTTTCTGAGGCACTGGGAATCCATTGACAGTTATTTAGGGAGGGAGTAGGTCAGTTCTTGGCTTGGTGCCTGTAGCACAGTGGTCAAAGTGCCAGCCTCATATACTGAGGCTGGCGGGTTCAAACCTGGGCTGGGCCAGCTAAACAACAATGAAAACTGCAACAAAAAAATAGCCAGGCATTGTGGCGGGCGCCTGTAGTCCCAGCTACTTGGGAGGCTGAGGCAAGAGAATTGCTTAAGCCAAAGAGTTTGAGGTTGCTGTGAGCTGTGATGCCACAGCACTCTACCGAGAGTGACATAGTGAAACTCTGTCTCAGAAAAAAAGAAGGTCAGTTCCTTTTAAGGAAATTCTAATGGTAAGAGAGGATCTAATGAGGGTGGGTGGGGGTGCAGAAGAGTGACTTTTGACAGAAGGAAACCAGTTAGGAGGCTGACACAATATAGCCCAGGCCAGAAATGGCGAAAACTGGAACTGGGACAGTGGAATGGTGAGGAGGGAAACCCTGTAAACCAGGGAGGCAGCATTTTTTCCCAGTTTAGTCCAGGGACGTTTTTGGCCCCTGACCGGCCTCTCTAACACCCCTCCCAGCTGTCCCCAGACTGCTGCCCAGTCGGGTGTGCTCAGCAAAGTCAGACTCTCTGTAATGTGAGCTCTGGCCCTGCAGAAACACTGGTGCTGCTGCAGAGAAAAAACTTGTCTAATGCATTCCAGAGCCAGAGAAAGAAATGCCTTTTGGATTACCCGCAGTTTAGGCCTTTCTCCACGGCTCCCTCTCTGCTGGGGAAGATTTTGGAGAACCAGGAGGCAGGGTATGATAGAGTGAGAACTGGAGGAGGAAACAAGACAGGGTTGGCAGGGGCGGGAGTGGGGGAAAGACTGCGCCTGGCAGGTGGTAAATCCCAGGTCACAGGGGTGTGGGCTAAGCCCTCGGGAAGCCTGCTAAAGAGTTTTAGCTTTTGGTAGGCCCAGTTCCCTCCTGCTTGCTCTTTGTTGGGAGAAGTCAGTCATGGATTGAGTACTTCCCATTTAGCTGAAATCTGGACCAGGCAACATAGGAGGGCAGGAGAAAATATCTGCCTCAGTTACATCTAAGAAGCTTGTGGATAGGGTTGAGGAGTAGCCAGACTGGCAGTGAGTCATAATGGAAGACTCTGGTGCTCACAAAACAGCCTTCGAAGGCCATGCTCCTGGCCATTGCTTCCATGGCTTCTCAAGTCACCTTCCTAATGCCTGTCCTTGCTTTTTCAGGCCTTCTAACTGGTTCCTCTTTTCCGATGTCCTGAAGAGACTGAAGCTTTCCTCCAGGATCTTTCAGGCCCGGTTCCCGCACTTTGAAATCGTCACCTTGCCCAAGGCTGAGTTCTACCGGCAGGTGGCCTCCAGTCAGCTGCTGACCCCTGCCGAGAGGCCTGGAGGCTTGGGGAACAGATCTCCCCCAGGCTCCTCTGAGACTGTAGAGCTGGTGCGGTATGAGCCAGACCTACTTCGGCTGCTAGGGTCGGAGGTGGAATTCCAGTCTTGGAACAGTTGACCAGGAAAACAGCCCCTCCCTTTTCTTCTTTCTCCTCCTGAGTTCACCCTTCCTCCACCTTCCATGTCTTCTCCCACCGAGCACCAGACTGCAGAATGAGGCAATAATATGGACCAACAAGAAGCCGCCTTATCAATGCCAGCATTAGTGACTGGACTTTTTTTGTTCTTTTGGTTACAATTAGTTCTCATCTCCCTGTCATTGTCATTGTTGTGGTTGGTGGTGGGGGTGGAAAGTTGAACTCCACATCTGAGGACAAGAGGTCCTGGGAGTGGTGGGGAAGGTGGCACCAGGGTCCCTTGGACTGGCCTTTTTGTGTATGACTGAGACCCAACCAGGGCCCTGGGTGGCTGCAGCCTGTCCAGTGGAGAAATGAGAAAAGCCCAAATTTCTGAGTACCCCCCTCTGTTCCCCTGTGTTCTTCTGTCTTCCATAGTATTTATTTTATTAGTATTTAATTTGTATTGTTTCATTGGTTTCTGATAAGTCTGTATCACTGTGACAATTTGAGACAACTTGTTGTATTGAGGGACTTTCTTTACCTCTTTTCTTTTTCTTTCTTGATAAGCTCTGACAAAGTTATTTCCAGGTGGTTCTTCCCCCCACTGTGGAGGGGGCAAGGTGGGATAGGGACATGGTTTTGTGACTAATGAAGCTGGCTGCTGCTGGCCTGGGGCTGGGGGTAAATCCTGAGGCTTTGGTGCTCCCCCTCTCCTGCCAGTTTTCTCTCTGACCCTCCCCCTGAGCAGCCCTGCTATCTTGAGGTTAGTGTTTATGGGGAGGGGAGGATTGTGGGCAAGGGGTTAATGAGTTACTCTGATAAAGGATAATAGAGAAGGGGTCTGAGGGTATTCCCTCCTGGCACTTTTTCACTGCTGCCTTTACAGGGCACGAAAGGAGTTCTTACATCTTTCCCTTGTGCCTCCACTCCCGCCCCATCCTAGCCTCCTCCTCTCAAGATACTGAGCCTCTAATCCCCTAGCCTTCACTTCCCAGTTCTGCCCCTTCCCAGATAGGCAGTACCCCTTTCTCTTCTCCCTCATTCTCCTTTGGAATCTCCAGAGGTCTCTGGGATTGACTGCCAGATGTGAAATCTAGGTGTCAGCTGTTTCCTAGGCAAGGGCAGGAAACTAGTCTCCAGCCTAGGCTCTACTCCTGCCTGGAGACCTGTGGATGACTGTATGGCCCTACAAGCCTCACCCCCCCAACCCACAGCTGGGTTTGTTTAGGGAGAAAAAGAGGAGCTTGGGTTGCTTCCCTGACCCCACCCCCTCTGTGGCATTGTCTTTCCTACCCTTGTTCTTATTTTTCTACCAATTGCTATTTTTCCGAACAATCCTTGTAGAGAGTTTGTACCATCCAAAGGCAGAAGGGCCTCATAGCCAGCTGTGGTTGGAGGTGGTACAGTTTTATTGTACAGGTGCTAAAACAACAACAACAAAAGAAGAAAATGGAAAAAAAAAAGATTAAAAAAAAAAGGAAAAAAAAAGCCAGTTTGAGGATGGGACAATCTGTTCTCTGGAAGCTCCTGACCTATGCGGGAGCATTGGTGGTTATTTTCTTTGTATTGTGTTCTTTGTTCCCGGGGGAAATTCTGGCCCCCCTTCTGTAGGACTGCTCCCTATTCCCACCATACTGCCCAGTTGGTTTTGAACAGTTGTTCTCCCTTTTTAAGAAAAAAAAAAAATATATATATATATATATATAAAGTTGAGGGGTTTTGGATTTTAATTTCTTGGTTTTGTTGGGGTTCCTGGTATTGTGTGGTTTATTTTATGTTTTATGTTTGCCTTTACTTTTTGCATTTGGGTGTGTATTATGGCTGCCCTTTATGTTTCATTTTAAGCAAATGGCTATGGAGTCAAAAACACTTGCATACTGAAAAACCTGTGTCGGGGCTTCTGTCTCCTGTCTCTCTTTTCACTCTTCTCCCCTTTGTGGATTTTTGGTGGTTTCAGAAGATGAGCATCCCAATTCAGTAAATGGGATCCTGCTTTACAGTTATGGGTCCTGAGGGTACAATGAATGAAGGCAAGGTGGAGTGGCTAGTGAACATTTAGGTCACTGGGTCATGATACGGGAAGAAAAGCCAAGATGGGCAAATCCTGGGGGATGGGCTGGTGGGGAAAATGGAGTATAGGCTTACTTTGCTTGCATCAGGCAGGGGGTATGCCCTAGCTTTCCCTTTCCATGTTTGTTTTAGAAAGGAGCCCTCTCTTTGGTGTTTGTGGGGAATGCACCTCCTTAAGAAAATTCCCTGCCTGCCCTGGATCACTCTGCTTTCTGGTAGCATGGTCTTTTCACTGCCCTCATGGCTATACCAGCACCTCCCCTGTCTACCCACACAGTGCAGGCCTTCCATGCTTGTTTTCCTGTGACCCAGCTACTAGGAAGGCAAGATTTTAACATTTTTAACTCCACCTTCTAAAAACCAGTGGTAAAAGCTATGATGTTTTGGGCCTGCTGATTTTAGAATGCACCCGTTTCCATCTGAGGGGAAGGGGATGTTCGAGAGGCGTGTGATGAGGCCCTTTGAAGCTGTATTCTTAGGGCCTGTGTGTCTGGAGAGCCCTGTCAGAGTATAGGTGAGGACATCTGTATGTCTGGCAGGCTATAGTCCAACCTTCCCCAGGATTGACCTGTGAGCTGTGCAGTCTTTGCTCACGCCCACTTGCCCTGGGTCTTGCTGCTCAGATGTAGGAGCATCATCATCTTTAAGCCCTAGCATTAATTTTTCTCACTGGCCCACCCTTCCCACTTCTGATCCTGAGGCCCTCCCTCTACAATAGCCACTTTTCTGGGTTCCCAAACAACCCCATAATGGTTCTGATTTCAGATCCACCCGCTGGAACTTGCAGTTAAGTAAAGAAATCAGACATGCCAATAAGTCATGAAAGCTGGGTGGTGAGTGTAAGATTCATCTAGGTCCAGGATGCTATGAAAGCTCAAAGGGATGGTCAAAGTCACTGGGGTGGGTGGGAGAAGTGATGCCCAGTTGATACTTAAATAAGTAGAATTAGATGTGGCAGAGAAGAACCTTTCAATTGAGGGGGACAATCTGAGCAAAGGCTTATAGACAAAAAAAAAGTTAAAAACAGAATCAAACAGTTTCTCATTTTCTTGCTTTTGGAGTCCTTTCCCCAGGTTACCTGAAGTCCCACTACCCTTATGCCAGATGGTAAAGATCAAGATTGTGGTATTAAATCTACATCCTCAGGTTTGAGGTTAGGCCAGTCAGTTGGTGACCTCTTATTAAATGATCTCCTAGTCCTTTTAGTATGATGTGGGGGAAAGAGCCATCACCACTACTAACTACCTAGGCTGACCCTGGGTGAGAACCTAATCTTTTCGAGCCTTCATTGCTCCATCTGCCAAATGGTGTTCAATTTACCCTCCAACCAACCAATGAGGACTGTACTGAGGACAAAACATGGCTGTTTAGCCAAAATTAGTTCCTCCTTCCCACCGAGGTCAGAAGCCTGAGTTAATGACTGCCTTAACCAGAATGGCCCTCTTTGGGCTTGGAAAAGTGGTCCTGTTGAAGTTTCAGTATTCCCAAAGAAGGGAACATCTCTGCATCCCTATTTGACACGAGGTAGGGAGGGTTGGGGGGAGGCAGTAATGCCCCTTCTATACTCAAATAACCTGGAAGCCTGTTGGGTGATTACTGAGTCCCGCCCCTGGTGCTCCAGGGACGTCCTACTTAGCTGCTGGGGGAGGCTCGAAGTGCTCCGGCCTTCTGGACTTGCAGTGGGTAGCCTGGAGCTCCACGTGTTCCCCTGGTGCATGGGCTCCCACCGCTAAGGCCGCCGGCAAACCACATCGTCCGGCCGTGGGTGGGATGCCTCCATGGCTTCGTGCTGGCCTTACTGAGCCTAGGCTCGCGCAGCGGGCAGTCAGGGCCCTCCCCTGGCAAACGGATATCACGGGCGGCTCAATCCATCTCTGATTTCAAGGTGGAAAGTGGCAGCGCATGTAAGTGCAGCTAAAGGCAGGCCAGGCGAGGAGTGGGCCAGGCCTGACATCCCGTGGCAGCGACAGCCTGGGGCTCACGCCCGCAGCCTGAAACTGGCGGTAGCTAGTGCAGGAGGCCCAGCGCAGTGAGCGCTCACCTGCTGGTTCAGGCGGCTGGGGGAGGGGGACGCCAGGGGCGGGGCCAGAGCTCGACTGGCCAATGGGGAGAGCGCATTCTCTGGCTTGCTAAATTCCCTCTGGACAGTGAAGAGGGTACTGTTGGAAAGTTCGAAGCCCTAGAGCAATGGAGGGCGTCGGTGGGGCTAGAGCAGCCCAGGGACAATCGAGGGCTCCGCGACTTGATAGAGGGAAGAGAAGGCTGGGGCCACAGTGGCCTGGGCCCGTAGTGGTAGGCCCCACCCTGGATGTCCCTCCCTTCCCTGGCTCTGCCAAGCCACCCGCCGGCCATCACTGGCTCGACAGCGCCACCTTCTGGATATCGGCTTCCATGTCCGGCGTGTCACGGCGGCTCACAGAGGCTGCAACTGCTGGCCGGGAAGCTCGCTTTCCCTAGGTCCTACGGCTTGAAAGCTATCGCTCCTGCTCTTAAGTCAACTACCTCTTTCAGAGTACATTATGGGATCAGGAAAGCCTGTAAGTGTCAGAATAACTTCTCCAGCCCCACCTTACCAGGGCTGATACTTCCCCCATTCAATCCCACCCAGGGATGAGGAAATAGTGGTGAGGCAGTCCCTGGAAGGAGGCAGCAGCAGCAAAGGGCCAGAGTTAGGGGAGTTGCCTGTGGTACTCAGTGATGACAAAATACAGCTGGAAGCAGCCCTCGGCTCCCTGTGGACCTTGCTGTCCAGGGATGGCTAGAGACAGCAAAGGAAGCTTCTGTGGTTACCTGCAGTGTTACATGTGGGGCCAAAAGCTGCAGTAGCTCCCAAGTATGGATTGTCCTCTCTCCTCTTGTCTGCTGTAGTAGAGGGCATAAGTCCCCCAAATTAGAATCAGGACTCATTCTTTCAATAAACATTTATTGAGCACCTACTGTGTGCCAGGCACTGTGCTGAGGCGCTGGGGATACATCAGTGACTGACACACAGTCCCTGTCCTTGAGGAGCTCACAGTCTATCAGGAGAAACATAACATAAACACATAATTAAGGAACTGCAATGTGCTAAGTGCTACAATAAGAGGTATATACAAAGTGCTGTGGGAGCCCAGAGGAGAGAGCAACACATCAGCTGCTGGGAGATAAGGGTCCTCTTGACTTGTAACTCCATTAAACCACCACAAAGGCAAAGATGTTATTACCATATGACCCTGGTTAAAAAGAACCTGTCTCCTGAGATTCTCCTCTAGTCCTCTCCTATAACTACATCAGCACAGGTTAGTTTATCTGATTAGCTAGTTTAACACTTTGAGTAGGAAAGAAACTGGACAGGGAAGTTTCTTTAGGGGCAGAGGATTTTCAAAGTAGTAACAATCTTGAGTGCTAAGGGGGGGGTACCATGAGGGCACTGAGCCAGGGAGGGTAGGCCCTGGGCAGTGGAGCACCTGGAGTGAGTGCCTGTGCATTGGGTAGATCAGGAGTCACCTACCTCGAAGTTGGGTCCCCATCTCCCACCTGCTCCATTGATAATTGTTCCTTTATGCTGTCTGCTTCATACTGTGCCCTGTTCTGTGGGTGATGCAGCCCCCCTACTCCTCAGGAGGTAACACCCTGACTGAGGAGACTAAATAGGTACAGGCTATTAAGGTTTAAGTAATAGTTTGTGATTATAGTAGAGGAGATGTCACAGGCTGTTCATGACCAGTTGCCTAAAAAAGAGTGGCAATTGCAATGAGTTTAAAATAAAGAACTCACTTAAGGATAGGCTGGTTTGGGGAGGCAGCTTCCATGAATTGAGTGTTGAAGGATGGACATGATTTAGTTGGGACCAGCAGAATAGGAAGAGCATTCTGGTTGAGCAGAGTCAAGTAAAGCAAAAAGCACAGAGGTGGGGAATTTTGAACAGAGGCATGTTCAAAGGGCAGTGGAGGCAGCATGCGCAGTTGGTTGGAGACGTCAGTCAGACCTGATGGTAAGGGGCTTGATGGCAGCCAAGGACTTGAGGCTTTGTCCTGAGCCCTACATGTACTCACCCATGCCTCCTCCAAGCCCCCTGGACTGGATTCAGCAACTAAAAGGTTACTGTCAGGCTGCCTAGAAAGCACTGGAGATTCAGTTACTTGATTATCACCCCCACCTATAGGCCAAGAGGAGTCGCTGAAGGCTTTTTGGCAGAGGGACAGAACTGGTACTCCAGTGGATGGGAGGGGTTGAGATAGGTCACATGTGGGGCCATTGATGTGTGTTAGAGGGAGTTTGGGCAAGTCTGGGGGCTCTGGGAGTATGGAAGGCAGATTTTAGAGACTCAAAAACTGCATGCTGAACTTAGGGAGATAGGGTAAGGGATGGGGGAATGTGAAGGCAGCCATCAGATGGCTTGGAAATTTCGAGCTTAGAAGGCCAGGAAAATGGTGGCACACTAACAGAAATAGGTTAGTCTTGATGGCCTTTTGTTTGTTTTTTAGAGTTTTATGTGAGTATGGAAAGAATTTTTAAAAATACATTTTTGATAGAGGGGCTGACATCTAGGTGGAAGTACCCAACAGATCACTAGAAATGTAAGCCAGGAACTTAGGGGAAAAGTAGGGGCTAGAGCCCTAGATTTAGAATTCATTCCCAAAGAGCTAGAATGAGCCCATAATGGTTGAGACCCTGGGGGAACACCCACATTGGACATGCCATATGAGGAGCTGGCAGCAATGTAGACAAAGGGTGATGGTGGGGAGGGAGGAGAGCCCAGCTAGTGTGGCTAATAGGGGCCAGAACTGTGAAGAAGATATTTGCTTTCACCCTGAGGGTGCATGTGACCTTCCAATGATGAGTTTCTATGGAGTTGGGGCAGGGGTGGCAGAAAGCAGACTTCAGATATGGACAAGGCCACCCCTGACACATTTAGTGCCTTTGTGCAATTTATTAAAAAAAAAGAGAGAAAGAAAGAAAAGGGTGACTCTTTTACAAGATGCTCACTTTCAACCATCAGGAAGTTATCATAATAAACTAACTTTATTAGAAAAAGGCACTTTAATGCCAACCGCTGAAAATGTGTGGTAAATGCAACTGCACAACTCTCTTGGGGGCAGGACAGGGAGGAGAGGGAAGGGAGCCGGGAGAGAGGGGTAGTTGGCTTGGCAGCAATTGGAAGAGAGAGAATAGCAGCCAGGGGAGGTAGTTAGGTCAAGTGGATGGTTTCGTGCTGAGGACATAGCAAAGGTCCTCAGGCACTGATTCACATTAATCAGAGCCATCAGATGATAGAGTTGTTTCTGAGGCTAACATTTCATAGCCTTTCCCCTAAACTTGGCAGGAGAGAGGCAAACTAACCCAAAGAAGGGAGAGGGGAGGGGGGATCCAGGTCCTCAGTCACCAAGGGGTTGGCATTAAGAGAATGAGTTGACCCTTCCTTGGAGAGAGGAATGAGGGAAGTGAGGAGCCATGGAAAACAGGGGAAATGCCCCCAAAACTCATGGGGAACTCATGTCTGCCAGCTCCTGTCTTCTTGGTGAAGAAGGAACCTGGGTTAAGTATGAAAGTTGGAGATAAGGGGCAACACTCCACCCAAGGTCTGCTGTAGGAGTGGGCTGGCCAACCTGCAAGGTAAGGGGAGCAGGTCACAGGCTGGCTAAGTGGCAGTTGCCCCTGCAGCATGAGCAAGAGTGGAGGATGCCCAATCAAGGTCGTGCAGGACTAGCCCCAGCAACACTGGGCAACTGGAAAATGTCGGGCATGAAAGTAATCAAGAGGAAACCCAGGATTTGCATATAGGTCTGGGTTCCAGTGAAGGCTGTTTCCAGTTTGGAGCTGGTATTATACAAAGAGCCCTGTCCCTGGGCATAAACATCCAATTAATTCAGCTGAGTGGGGACTCTATGGCTGGGTCAGACTCTGTGGGGGGAGAGGACAGGGAGGCACATTGCCCCAGACTAATCCTTCAGCAAAGCACTCTGGGGTAGCCAAGTTTCCAGCCCAGCAGCAGGGTGACTGTGGTGGATAACTAGGCTAACTCTGGGAAGATACCTCAGTCTAACCTGTGTGGGCTGCTTCCCCGGTAAGTTCTTTCCCCTCTCATTGTGCTTTTATCTTACTTGGCCTTCTTGTCCCTTAGGAGCACATCTTCCCCAATGTGCATACTCACTAAAGCTCTCCTACCCTGCATCTGTTCCAATTCTGTGACATCTCTCCAGATTTGGGGTCTCCAACCATACCCCATAGTCTCAAAGCAACTGAATCTTGGCATGCACAAAGGGAATTAGAGAATGTTTTCCCTTTCAAAAAACAATCTGCATGCCTGTGGCTGACCCAAAGAAAGATACACACACTCTAGAAGACTAGACTTCACAGCTACACTCATCCTCCCCAAAGAAACTAAGATAAAGACCCACAAGTACACACAAATACATACAGAAATATTCACATATGGGATAACAAATTCCCTGTGTCAGGCAAGTAGGTGGCGAGATCCAGCCAGGTAAAAAGACTGTATCATGAAGCCCCTGCACCAGCCTTGGCTATAAAATTCTCCCTGGCTCTGGGGATTTTTCCTCCATCACCAAGTCAGCCCATTATCCTGCCAAGAGCATATCCCCTAGTGCTCTTGAAGGCCATAGTCTGACGCCAGGGATGTACCAACTAGGCATAGTTTGGACATGGTGATGCCAGGCAGGGCTGGGACCTGGGGGCACTGAAATGTAGGGGCAAGTGTGCTACTTCTCTATGACAATGCAACTCATTTTCACCTGGTGGGTGACAATTCTCCTGACCCCTCTGTTTATATGTCATGGGGCTCCATCTTAATGAGGGAAGTGGGGTTGAATGGAGAGAAGGCGGCTGGGGTTGGGGATCTGGTCAGCAGGCTCCCAGATGTGTTCACACTAGGCTCAGCCATTAACAGGGACCCTGAGCCTGAAGAAAGCTCAAGTTCAGCCACCGGAGTCAGCCCAACAGTGGGGCGGCTGGGAGAAGAGAAAGTCTGGCTCCCCAGAAGGCTCGAATTGTGGGAACCTCTTGAAACCACCTGGGTCGGAAGTGGCTGAAGATGAGCCTGATCTCTCAGGAGCTCCCTCAGGGTCTCTTCAGGAACTAGCAGCCCCTCCACTTGGGTCCCGCTCCTCAGTGGCCCCTCCTTGACCCCAGGGACTGCTGTGGCACCAGAAGTCCTGATGAAGGCAGCAATGACAGTCCCAGGGGACTGAGAACTGGGCCCTGCTGGTCTAACCCCTGTGACCGAGGGTGGTGCTGTGTTGGTTGGACGGTTGGCCCCAGTCAGAAGTTGGGGGAGGCCACTGAGAATCAGTGGAGCCCCTGGGGCTGCCACCTGCCTATCTGAGAAACTGGTGTTCAGGGGGAAAGAGGCCTGCAAAGTGAAGGTGTCCTTGAAGGTTGAGGCAGATGGAACACTCTGGAGAACAAGCTGGGTAGAAGCAGTAGTGCTGGCAGGAGGCCCATTGGTCAGCATCGTGGTCAGTGGGATTGTCTGCAGGGTCAAGGACGAGCCTGACCCTATTCCTAGGTGGATGTTGCTGGGCACTGAAGACTTACTAAGAAGAAACAGAACAAAGTTAGTTAGGGCAGGAGGCATTCCCCATCTGCTAAGAAGGAGTGGACGAGATGAATGGAGCTGAAGGTGCTTTTTTTTTTTTCTTTTTTTGAGACACAGTCTCACTAAGTCACCCTCACTAGAGGGTTGTAATGTCACAGCTCACAGCAATCTCAAACTCTTGGGCTTACACGATTCTCTTGCCTCAGCCTCCTGAGTAGTGGAGACTATAAGTGCCCATCACAACGCCCGGCAACTTTTTTGGTTGCAGCTGTCATTGTTTAGCAGGCCCAAACCCACCAGCTTCAGTGTATCTGGCTGGTGCCTACTCATTGAGCTATAGGCGCCAAGGCTGTTTCTTTGTTGTTATAATTAACATTTGTTGAGGACTTAGTATAACCATTCCCAGTGATTGACATGGACATTTCACTCAATTCTCAAAACAGCCCATAAGCTGTATATGAATAATCTGATTTGGCTCGGCGCCTGTGGCTCAACCGGCTAAGGCGCCAGCCATGTACACCTAAGGTGGCGGGTTCAAATCCCCAGCCCGGACCCGCCAAACAACAATGACGGCTGCAACCAAAAAATAGCCGGGCGTTGTGGCGGGCGCCTGTGGTCCCAGCTACTTGGGAGGCAGAGGCAGGAGACTCGCTTGAGCCCAGGAGTTGGACGTTGCTGTGAGCTGTAATGCCATGGCACTCTACCCAGGGGGACAGCTTGAGGCTCTGTCTCAAAAAAAAAAAAAAAAAAGAATAATCTGATTTTGCAGCTGAGGAACCTGAGGCACAGGAAGGTTACATAACTTGCCCTAAAACCACCCAGCTGGTAAGCACTAGAGCAGGGACAGGCATCTAGGCCTTCTGACACCAGAGCTCATGTTCTGCACCATTCTACTCTACTGCCTCCCTCCTCAGAAGGGCATCTCAGTGCCCAGGCCAGCATAGTGAGAGGTACATACACATAACCCAGACAAAGTCCAACCTTTTTAGAGAAAGTTGGAGGCCCCTTAGCAAGGATGAGAAATAGTGAGAGCTGGCTGGGTGGACCTGGCAGTTTTGAGGAAGGCAGAGCAGGTGTCTCTGTAACATCCTCTATTGCCTCTTTTCTGGAGTGGAGGAGGCCTGGGGGGACGGGGCTAGACATGGAGGCCCTGGTGGCTTCTTGGGGAGCCTTCTGGTATAACAGCCCTAGCTGTCAGCAAAAACTACTTAGGTCAAATGCTGGCTTTGCCTTGACTGCTTGATGTATGACCTTAAGCAAGTCAATTTTCCTCTCTTAAACAATTCCCCTACTGGCTTCCTAGGGGTTCTGTGAGGATCTCATGAGCCTGGAGATACAGCAGGTGACAATGAAACCTACCCTGAGCCAGGCACAGTGGCTCTTGCCTATAATCCCAGCACTCTGAGAGGCTGACGTGGGAGAATTGCTTGAGCTCAGGAGTCTGAGACTTGTCTGAGTAAGACTGAGACCCTGACTCACTAAAAAAATAAAATACCCAGCCAGGCGCTGTAGCAAGTGCTTGTAATCCCAGTGGCTTCTGGAGGCTGAGGCAGCAGTATGTCCCCAGCTTGAGTCTGAGGTTGCAGTGAGCTATGATGGCATTGCATTCTATTCAGAGCATAGGGTAGGACTCTGTCTCAACAATAACAAAAAACAAAAACTGACCCTGAGCATGAGGTACTACTATGTGAAGACTCATAATTACTTGGTGCCCTTACCTCACAGCTTTGGGAAGTTTGACCTGGCTCTCTGGTGGGGAGACAAGCATGGTGGAGGTAGTGGGGGGCTCCTCATCTAGAGACGGTCCCAATTCCAGATTTTCAGATGATTGGACGCCAACGTGCTGAACCTTCAGCTTTTCCCGGGAAGAGCCACCCTTGCCCTGAGCAGCAGCTCTGGCCGAGACCCTGGAGCTGGTTCGCCGGGGGGTACTGGTGGAGACTGTGGAGGTCTGAGGCGGGGCTGCTGTGGCTTCACTTCCCTCATCCTCGTCGTCAATCACCACCAGGTCTTTGGGCATCTCCTTAAACTGGTACACCAGCCTCTGCCCTTCCACTTTGGCCAGGATGCCTCTTTGGTAGTAATATCTGAGGGATGAGAGGTGGGGAGTGAGGAGTTAGCCAAGGACTAAGTGGGAAGGCCCTTTAGCTCCTTCTTTCCAGCATACCTCCTTCCAGAGGTGGGCAAGCTGAGGCTGGCCAGCGGCCCAGGGGCATAGGAAGGGGTACAGTCAATGCTTGGGTTTGGAAAGCTTTTATGAAATGTCTGAGATTCACCCCTGAGGACTTGAAGGATCAAATGCCACCCCCTATCCTGCTCTAGAGGAGGGAAGGAGAGGTTGGAAGAAGGAACTATGAATGAGGCAGGGTGAATGGGGGACTCAGCAGTCCTCCGGGCTAAGATACCACCTCTCGGGCAACTCAAGCCCACCTCCCTGGGGCTGTGGCTTGCAGACTGTGAAGAAAGACCTCGGAGAAGGGAGCAATTAAGCTGCTCTTCCCGCATGACAAGTAAAAAGGCCAGGTCAGAGTTGCAAGAGGAGGGGGTTTTCCTCCCAGAAGGGGCACCTGGGGAAGGGGCACAGGGACAACCGAATGGGAAGGTTACAAGACCTGTTTTTGTTTGTTTGAGACAGAGTCTCACCATGTCACCCTCAGTAGAGTGCTGTAGCATCACAGCTCACAGCAACCTCCAACTCTTGGGCTCAAGCGATCCTCTTGCCTCAGCCTCCCAAGTAGCTGGGACTACAGGTGCCCACCACAATGCCCGGCTACAAGACCTGTTTTCTTAAAGGATGAATCCGGTCTCCATTGAAGGGGGGGGAGAGACTCTTGGGACTTAAGGCTGGGCTTAGTGACTCCCCCAGGGCGGAGATTCTGTGTCCCAGCATCTCCTACCTTAGTGCCCGCCCCATTGTCTCATAGTTCATGTCAGGCTTGTTTTTCTGCTTTCCCCACAGTCTGGACACAGCTTTGGAATCTACCAGCTTGAAGATGCCCTTCTCTCGCTGGGTCCACTTGATGTACTTGGGACAGGTGTTTCTGTCTTGCAGCAGCGCCAGAAGGAACTCCCACAGATAGATGGTGCTGCCTGCAGAGGGGCAGGTGGTGAGGGACACCCTGGCAGCAGGGAAGGGGCGCCCTTCCCATGTCACCTGACTCCCAGCCATACCTTTGCCATCTTTTGATTTCTTCCGTATGGGGATGCTGGGGTCAGTGACAGGTGAGGTACTTCGGTTGCACTTGGTCTTCCGGACTATGAGAGGAAGGTAGGGGAGGAGAATGAGGACCAGCTCATTCTCCTCCCCTTGGAGAGGGTGGGCCCAAGAGCTGCCCAAGTTGGGTGCAACAAGGCCAACAAGGAGGAGCCAGGTCACCAGGGCTGGAGGCCCAATTCACTCACCACAGCCCTCAGATATTTCCACCCTCACTTTCAAGCCCCCAAGGTAGCACCACAACTGGGCTATGATGTGAGGAAATGGAGTGCTTCCACATGCATCACTTTGATGAGAACAGAATATGCTTAGCCTAACTTTTAAAATGAAAAGGCAGCCTGAAGGCACCACTGTTAGGCAGGTAAGTGTGGGGCTGAGGGTTTGGCTGCTATGCTGACAAGGCGGTATCAACCAGCCATCACCTGAGTAAATCAATAACGCCAGGCTTGGGAAAGCCCAAAGTCCTTTCTCATAAATGGCCTCAGTTTCATAAGCTCCACAGAAGGGAGATAAGCTCTGAGGATGACTCGTCTTTTATAGGCAGAGGCCCCAGAGGTCCAGGGGGCCAACCCTGGTATTTAAACTCCCAGCCTAGGATTGACTCCATTAGGATTGTTGGCACTTCTCACGGGGTTTACACATGCTGGGTAGACAAGAGCAGAACAGAAAATGTCAGGCTACGGGCAGGCCAACGAATGAAGCAGGTTTTATGGAAAGGAGACCTTTTAGTCCACCCTGGCCACACCAGAGAACTGGCCTCCTACTGTGCCCAAGTCTTGGCCCACTCAATCCCTCAAGATCTCACTGACACCACCCCCATTGCCAACCCCCTAGACACACACACACACACTCCCTCCCCCTTCTCTTACTTCTCTTCTTTGATTTTGCAATCTTCTTGGTACTTTCCTCTCTGGTGACCTTCTCCTCCAGAAAAGGTGCCTCCTGGTTACTAGTGTCAAGTGCCCTGTTCAGGACATCGGGATCACAGGCAGAAAACAGGTAGTTGGGCAGAGAGATGGCTGAAGCAGGGTCTGAGTCTGGAAACATTTCGGAGGTATTGACTGCAAGAAGAAAGGCCTGAGGTGGGCGGGGCCCAGCACAGGGCCAGGGCGGAGCCTCTCACAGCTGGAGAGAATGGTGGGTTTTTAGGGAGGGCAGGGCTTTTCCCCATGGCCCCAGACACAGGATACACCTGAAAATGCCTCATATGTCTCTCACCACTAGGGGAGGAAACATCTGTAGAGCTGTGGGTACAAGCTAGCCCCAATCACAGCCACATGTATAGCCCACTGCTGGGTGTGAGGAAGTTCTGGGTGACATTCAGAATAAAGGGCCACCTTGATTTAGTCCTTCACTCATTTCACAACTCTAGGGGGCCTTAAAAATCATTTAGTCCAATTCCTCTGCTTTCCTGATGAGGAAACTGAAATAGACTCAGAGATGGCAAGTCATGTGCCCAAGGTCACACAGCAAGTTGGTGCCTGACTGGTATAGGCAGGCCCTCAATCCACCTGCCTTGGCCTCCCAAGTGGTAGGATTATGGGAGTGAGCCACATCCTGCCCAGCTGGACTAGAAATATCTTAACATTTAGCATTAGTGCTTTCTTTCCCCCTCTATGTCCCAGCTCCCACTTAGGTTGAGGGAACCCTTCTATGGTGTTAGGGTATCTGCTGAGAGGGTACTGGGAGGAGCCTGCTTTGGGGAACTTTTGGGGAGTCAGGAGCCAGGCAGGACTAGCAGGGATCAGGCTGGCCTCTAAGAACAGGGAAGGGATGAAGATATTCCAAGCCTGGTAGGTTTCTAAATAAGTCACACCCTGCATTTCTTAGTTTTCCTGGAAGCCATACAAAAGAGCAGAGGGGTCTGAAAAAGTCACCCTGGCCAATATTATTCAGCCTTAAAAAGGAAAGAAATTCTGATACATGCTACAATATAAACAGACTTTAAGGACATGATGCTAAGTGAAATAAGCAGCACAAAAAGACAAAAGTTACATGTGTCAGGGGGTATGGTACATATGTCTGCATGCACATGTGCCTGGGAATCCAATATGCAGATGGGATATTTTATTCTTTGTTTTTTTTTTTTTTTTTTTGAGACAGAGTCTCACTTTGTCTCCCTGGTAGAGAGATAGGATATTTTTAAAAGGAATTTTTTTTTGTTCCCTTGAGTGAAGGCCCTGGGGCTCAAACTTACAGATCTCCTTCTCATCCAGGATGTCATCAGGAGAGTCCATATTTAGCAAGAGTTCAGTTGTTGACACGCTGTGTGAGGTGGCCTCATTTTCATCTGGTTCCAGGTTCCATGGGGGGCGCAGGAGAGAAGAAAAATTCCCTCAGGCCACAGGCAGAGGGAACAGCTATAATCAGGGCTAGCCCAAACATAGTACTAAGGAACCAAGTGAGTGATAAGCCAAGGAGCCCCAGGGACCCTGGCCAGAGCTACTAAGGACAGTGAGAAGGACCTAGTGCCCCTCCTGCCCTAATTGGTCTCCAGTCCTCATTGTCCCACCCCATCTAGAAAGATCAGGAATCCATTAAGATGGTTCCTCTTCCGTGAAGCAACACTATCTTTCCTTAAGGGTCTTCACCATTCTGCATGGGGTTACTAGAAGCCGTTGTGGGCTGCTGTTCCCTGATGACAGAACTCACTCTTTACTACACCTTCCCTGCCCAGGTGGGGAACAGACCTTCCAGCAAAAAACTGCCTTCCAATATGTCATCCTCAGTCATGCACAAGGTCCCATCTGTTAAGATGCTATTGTGAACGTCGTCCAGATCCAGTCCTGAGTACAGATGCAGTAATTCGGGGTAGGGGACCTGCTCCACGATCACAGCTGGGAACACGGAGGGGTCTTCCAACTATAGAGAAGAAGAAGAAGATCTGGTTCAAGGCTCACTCTCCTTTTCTAGGAAGCTCCCCCCACCAGAAGCTGACCCTTTGTGCAATTTCTAACTCTTGGGAACCCTCAGAGACAGTCTTTTGCATAAGATGACATTGCTGTGGGTCCAGTCTCACTAGGTGATTCTTCAAGTGGGTTCTTGATTAATAGAGATGAGTTATCTCTGGACCACCTGCACTCAACCAAGGATAAGTATTATTTTTAATTGGTTGTAGTTATGAGTTACTCTGTGGCCAAGGTTAGGGCTCAGTCTATGAGAAGTGGCTGAGGCCAATAGGAAAGGATTAGTTGATGGCAAGTTCAAGGGGCTCAGGTAGAGGACTCAGTTTACATTCAGGGTTGGGGACCTAGTTCACGACCAGAATTAGGGGCTCAGACATCTTAGGACTCAGCCTATGGCAACAACAGTGGGAATGAAGACAAAACAGAGGCATTACAGAAGTGGAAAGAAAGCTTAAGGTCCAGTCACTGTGTGGATAAGGGAGGGTGTTTCAGTTTCTAGCTGGATTCAGCAGACACATAGGAGCATTGCTTATGTTAAGGATGAGCCCAAGAGGAGAAAAACAGGTTTTGGAGAAAGATAAAAGATACCATGTCTGGATGTGGTGAGCTTGAGGTACCTTTGGGATATCTAAAATGGAGATGCCTATCAGGGAGTTAAAACTAAGTATCCAAAAGTTCAAAAGGGAACTGGTAATCGCTCAATCCCTTGGAGTAGATAATAGGAATGCGAATTCAAACCCTAGAGAACATAAGTGTTCTGAAATTAAGCAAAGCTAAATAAAAAAAGGAGTGTGTTGTAACTGTTTTTAACAAACTCTGTATTTAACACATTTGAGTGCCTATCAAAAAGGAAAACTTTGTGTATAGAAATAAATATACCAAAATATACCAGAATGCTAATAATAGTTATATTTGGGTTGTGGGACTTGGGGCATTTTTTTTTCTTTTATTTCTACTTTTCTGTAGATTTCAAATTTTTTTTCATGGGGATGTTTATTCTCTTTTCATCAAAAAAGAATGAGAATTGTCCTGTCTAATGCTCCTGAAAAATCCAGAAGAATAAAAACTGATAAAAGGCTTTTGGGTTTGGCCACTTGGTAGTCACCCTGGCTAGAGCACTTTCAGGACAGTGCTGCGGTCCCAGGCCAAGTTATAACATGCCAGAGACTACAGACTGAGGCAAGTAATTGAGTGTAACATTTAAGGCCCCAGGCCAGGTGCAGTGGTTCATGCCTGTAATCCTAGCACTCTGGGAGGCTTAGGTGGGTGGATTGCCTGAGCTCATAGATTCGAGACCAGCCTGAGCAAGAGTAAGACCCTGTCTCTAAAAATAGCCAGGTATTAAGGTGGGCACCTATAGTCCTCAGGAGGCTGAGGCAAAAGGATCACTTGAGCCCAGGAGTTTGAGGTTGCTGTGAGCTATGATGACACCACTTCACTCTAGCCCAGGCCACAGAGTCTCCAAAAAAAATAAAATAAAATAAAAATTTAAAAGATAATGATAACTATGGGAAAACTAAAAATTCAGTCCTTCAATTGCACTAGCCACATTTCACATGTTCCATAGCCACATGTGACTGGTGGCCCTGTATTAAAGAGCACAAATATAAAAATTTCCAGAATTCCAGAAAATTCTACTGGATTGTGCTAATCTAAAACCAGACTACTGAGGTTTGAAACCAAGCTCTGCTACTTACTAGCAGTGCGACTTTGAGCAAGTTACCTATCCTTTCTGTGTTTCAGTTTCCTCATTTATAAAATTGGAGTGATCACATAATTGACTCCATAGGATTGTTTGAACAGATAAATACACATACAGCACCCACAACAGGGCCTGGCATAGATTCAGTTCTTAACTGAGTTTTATTTCTTAATCTGGGTGGGTTTCTTAATATGGATGTTCATTTGGCTCGGCACCTAAGCTCAGTGGCTAGGGCGCCAGCCACATACAACGGAGCTAGCGAGTTCAAATCCAGCC